CTTAACCTCCAGGAAAATGAGGTAAAGAGGTAATAGGCTTTGAGAGAGAAGAAGCTGAGATGGGAAAAGGCCAGAAGGGGCATCAATTCATAGGAGATAAAAGGAGCACGGTCCTACTGAATCACATCTGAACATTCCAGGTCCCATAAATCAAAGAACTCAAGGCTTTCCTCTTTTAAAAAGCAGGAAGTGATCCCAGTCTGCTTTTTCTCAAAGCTGGCTCTCCTGTATATACCCAGCATATGATAAGAGTACAAAGTTGTGATTGGGTTAGGAGAGAGTAACCATATCCACTCTAAAACTAGACTTGATCACATTTATTGAGAGCAGTTAAGATTAAGGTCACTGCAGCTTCAAACCCAGATAGGAAACTGGTGTGAGAACAGTGGTATCTTCTTCCTTCCATCTAGAGCAGGCCTCACACACAGGCCAGAGGAAGCAAGTGGTATGTTTCAAGGGATGGCATAAAGGTACACATCACCAAAATATCTTCCCTATATCACAGAATAGTCCTTCAACAAGACAGTTGTTTGGGTTGACAAGAACATACACAAGAGAATGTTGAGAGAAAGGCTGGGAATTCGTTATCTAACAGTCATAGGCAAGGGTTTGGTGCTATATGTTTACTAACTGGCTCTCCAGGAGAAGATAGACAGATAGATAGATAGATAGATAGATAGATAGATAGATAGATAGATAGATAGATAGATAGATAGATAGATAGATAGAGACAGATAGATATAGATAGGTAGATAGATAGATAGATAGACAAACAGACAGATAGATGCATAACACACCTTTAAGTTTAATATGCATTATTAACATTTTCTCTATCACTTTCTTAAATTTGGACAATCAATAAAACATAAATCAAGCCTTGACTTGTAGCATTTGCCAATTTTTGAGGTGTCAACACACTAAAAATTTAGCAATCCTCTCTATTAGACTGGTTCAAGCTGGCTCCAGCACACCTCCACGACTCATAGCATTACACATTTAGAGGTATAAAATTTTAAAGACTGTATAGATATTCCAACAACATTCACTTTCCAGATGAGAAATTCATCCACAATTTGTAGTACTTAGATTAATCTGAGATTAACCTCACTAAGAAGATGGGTATTTTGAAGGCAGTGGAAAAAAGTGAAAGAATGAGGTAATTTGGGCATACGGGGAACTTGGGTTAAGGTAAGCATGAATGAGGGGCAGCTAGGTGGTGCAGTGGATAGAGCTCCAGCCTTGGAGTCAGGAGGACCTGAGTTCAAATCTGGCCTCAAATACTTGACACTTACTAGCTGTGTGACCCTGGGCAAGTCACTTAACCACTATTGCCTAAGCAAAAAAAAAAATGGTAAGCATGAATGGAAGTAAAGTAGCAGACTCTGGGTAGTCAGAAGACACAGGACATCTGAAGAACTAGTGGGAGAAGGTAACAGGCACAGGACAGTAATTTTAAAATGTGGAAAAAATTATTAGAAGGCCTTACATTAGTAAAAAGTAAGAATACAATTGGGCTTTTTAAAAAAGATATATACATAATAGAAATTAAATTTACAATTTTAAAATTAAGAATAGGGAAAATAAAACTTTAGTAAGTATAATAAATAATTTAAAATATATTTCAAATCCATATTATAGCTAATTAACTTGGGGTGGGGAAAGAAGAAAGTAGAAAAGACAAAGATAAGTAGAGGGGAAAGACAGATAAAAAGGGAAATGTCAAAGTGAGGTATTCTTAACTTTTTCATATTATGGACCCCTTTAGCAGTCTGGTGAAATCTATAGACCCCTTCTCAGGATAATATTGTTAAATGCATAAAATACAACATACAGGATTATAAATAAAACCAATTATATTAAAATAGTTATCAAAATTTTTTTTTAAAAACAAGCTTATGGACCTCAGTTTAAGAATCCTTAATCTATGTAAATTTTGAAATGTTAGTCTGGTAAAAATACTCATGCCATACTGTACTATTTATAAATTTTCAACTATTCTTCATCTTTAATTCTTCAGAAGTTTGAACCTGAATGGATTAATCACAACTGTCCACCAAGGAACACATTATTCTCTCAGCTTCAGCAGCAGTGACCAGCACAATACAACTTCATCAGCCAGATTAAATCAGAGGCAATGTCTCAGCATCTCTGAGTCACTCTTCCTTAGAAGCTTTACAGGAATACTTATTTAGCGACAGACTTTTACTGATTTGTATTTAGTCCCTTTCTGATTCCAAACACTTATTATTTATGAACACCAAGTAAATGCAGCCATCACAAGGACCACATCTGCTGGCACTGAGATGGCTTACTTGGTGATATTATCAGATGAACCCAATTAGTAGTACAAGAAAACCACATACAGAACACATGGCTAAACCATTTCTTAATATAAGTTGTTAGTGTAAAGAATGGTATGTTATATTTTTCCAAATGCTCTATCAGCATCTGGTACTACACTTAACGTTCAACTTCACTAAAAGGTTCATTGCAGGAAACAAAAAAAGATTTTGGTGTACTTTCAAATGGAGTGCAGAGATGATAATTTTTTTTTAATGCATAGGAGTGAAATTTCAGCTATGTTTTTTAAAAGGTACTCATTTTAATACAATAATATCATTTAGAAAATCTGAATCAGTTAGTAGTTACAACTTTCAGTGTGACCCAGAAAATAATCAGCCTTACTAAAAACTGTTAAAAATTATTAAGGTTGGGGGCAGCTAGGCGGTGCTTTAGATAGCAACAGCCCTGAAGTCAGGAGAACCTGAGTTCAAATCCAGCCTCAGACCAAACACTTGACACTTACTAACTATGTGACCCTGGGCAAGTCACTTAACCCGAATTGCCTAAAAAATAAACAAATTATTAAGGCTATGTCAACAACAATTTGGTCAATTCAGCCAAAATAGTTCCAATCAAATATTAGTCTTAAATATGCAAGTTGATCCATTTGAGATACCAATTTCAGTGTGAAAAGCAAAAGAACCAAAAGCCAATTTTTACATAAAGCTAAGAAAAATACGAAATTATTATCATTAATGAGAAGCTAAAGTGGGAAAAATTATCCAAGATGCCTTTAGTTCTTTCTCCTCTTCTCTGACTATCCAAATCTCGTTACCTTCAAATCCCTCTTCCTCCATGAAACTTTTTCAGATCACTTGAGTCTATAATGACCTTTTCCTCCTGTAAATTCATAGCACTTAGTGTCTCTATGTTCATTTGGCAATTAATCTGGTATTGCTCTGTAATGTTTCTTGTATTCTTATTTAACTTTTCATGAAGGTATTAATTAATTGATTAACAATTCAGTTGTAAGCTCTTTAAAGGTAGGGACTATGTCTTCTTACCAACCACAGTGCACAGTGCCTTGAATGTAGTAGGCCCTCAATAATATTACATTAAATTGGTTGACATGCCATCTTAAATAAACTAAGTTTCCCTTGTATCATAAACATATTCTTACACTAGAAATGGAAGTGTAGTTTGCAAAAATTCAGGCGAGTATAAAGCTTTAATCACTAAGCCCCTCTTTTAGTAAAGAAAGATCTATACCCTTTTAGAATTTTTGTGAATATTATGCTTCAATTTGTCAGTGTGGAAAAAGTTTTTATCCTAGAATTGTTCCCAAACTTTTAATCAAGGCAATGCAAGTACTATTCCTCCACCATAAAAAAATAATTAAAAAGCTAAACCTAAAAATATTAATAATATTTTTTCCCAAGAAGTCATCACTTTGAAAATACTTATTTAAGTTTCTTGCATTTCATATTGAAAAACAGCTTTACACTTGAAATAACTGCTACTGAAAAATACTACCAACAAGCCAAAATTTGAAAACAAAGAAAGCAATTTCAGAATTAAATAATCTATGAATTACCTTTTTGTTTTCCCAAGAACACAAATTATATTAATGCCTACTACATTTTTCAACAGCTTTTTAAGAGAGAATATATTTAAGTAGGTTAGTTAATACAAATTATACTCGTAAGAACAAACAAATACATTTTTCTTAAAAACTCAATGCCTCACATTTTCTAATTGTGGAAAAGCCCCAATGAAAGCAAGAAGTTCATCGTTTCATTCTTATGTGAATTTTGATTAATCTTTGTGTGGTTCATTTTAGAAATACATAATTTGCAAACTATCAGCTTTGAATGTAGATGAACCTTGAATAATTTTAAAATATCTCAATCAAAACTATTAAAATTTATTTGAAACCACTGATGTTCTTAAACATAAATTTAATAACAGTATTTGGGATATTTTTACTGAAACCCCTAAATAAGTTCTTCTTGACAAAAAAAGGAAAAATTTATTCAACACATTCTTGAAAGTTTCAATTGCTTTACTTTAGTAAAATATAGTGGAAAGTAAAACTTCCATTACTTGAAATGGAAAACAGAAGTGCTAGTTATATTTGAATATTCAAAGTTTAAGTGAAAGTTAAAATCTGAAGCAAGAATTATCAGATTTCAAGGATGTAAAACATAGTAAAATACAGTTGACACTAAAGCTACTTCATAATCTTTCCCTGATGATTAAGATGTTACAGTGCCTTAGTCTGTCAAAATTATTAATTATGTATGATAGACTGGGGAAAAAATCAGTTATTTAATCTTTCTGGTTATTTGGTCTCTGTGTACTCAGGATTTTGCTTAAGGCCACTCTTGGCATGGAGGACTATGAGTCTAAAGGAGGAGGATGAGAATTCAGCATCTTGAGTTGGGAGAAAAAAAATATATATATATATACACACACATATATATGTATAAATATACATATACAAGGACTTCCAATTAGGTCACTACTACTTTTTTTCTTATAACAATACTTTTTGAAATCTAGTATTTATATTTTCATAATACTTTTTAATCAAATTATAAGAATGGGAAAAAGTGGTGTAGTAATTGCTATATTAAGCAATGATACATTTTTATTGATATTAACTAAAATATTAAACAAATAAAATTGACAATAGCACTATCCTTTTTGTTTATTCAAACAAAAATAAAGACATTTTGATGATAAAATATACATAAAGCTATTAATTTTAAAATTTATTTTTCTCTATGGTACAATAATACTTCATAATGAAACTTGCTATATTTAGAAATAAAAAATTATTAAATAACATAATATTTCCTTGGTTCAACTCACTACATTTCAGGAAATAAATTTTGGCCACTTGATGAGAACGATTTGTTTAAAAGCAATCATTTCTCTGGGGACCCTTCAACTTCGATGGCCTCCTTTTTCTTAAGCCATGTCAAAACCGAGGACACTGTACCATCACCACTTTGTTGTGAGAAGCAAAGGAAAGTAGCCCAGACAAAGCCACAGAGGCCCGTATATGCTGTTCTCAAGTAAATGGGAACAAAACTGAAGTTGGTAAGCTGTGGCAGAAAGAAAAAAGAGTTTGTTATTGGTGTTCTGTATAAATTGCACTAAAAAGTTGACACAGAAAGCAGGTTTGAAACTCACCTGCACAAAAGGCCAGTACAAGAGACCAGTCTGCAACAAAGGAGAATTTTATTATTATGTTTTTCAATTACATGGATTGATTTCATTGCTCAGTTTACAAAAGCCAGGGAAGTACATGGCAGAGGCTAATCATGTGGTATTCAATTTAGGCTAAGCTGCTCAAATTAGATCTCACTAGAGAATGAAATAAACACAGTAGAAAAGGTTAAATTTTGTTAGTCATTCTCATACTCTGAGAATAGAATGCTAGCCAGTGTCAACAACGAATATGTAAGACAAACATTTCTTGAATAGACATTAAAGTAGATATTGTGATGTTACACTGTAATAGTTTATCACACAGTTCAACTAACTCAGGAAAGTACTTATGAAATATGACATCAACTCGTAGGAAAATATTTTGGAAACAAAAGGAGCTACCACTCTGTGTAAGACTATCAAATAATTCTTTGATATGAATATAATGCTCTAAGAAGAAATTAAAACTACATTAAATTGAAAAACATTGTTTACCTGACTTTTAGTGGATTCCAAAATAGTTCACATATATCTTTTATAAACTTCAATTGTACCTTTCTCAAAAGTTTATGAATCATGAATAATTTGCTTTTTTTTTTAAGGGGTCTTAAGTATTTAAGAGGATAGGTCTAGTCCTAGATCTAGTTCTAGAAGAGACTTTAGAAGTCATCCAGTCTCACATCCTCATTTTACAGATGAGAAAATCAAAGTGTAATGAATTTAATGATTTTCCCAAGGTCACATAAATCATGACAGAGATAACATTTGAACCCAGGTAGCTTTAGAGCTAGTGTTCTTTTCATCACACCAGAAAGACTGCCTTTTTTTTAAAAAAGAAGAATCGAAAGTTGTATCTTTCACAATCATAGAAAAACGTGTAAGCAGACATAGAATTGAAGATATAAAAAGTCAGACAGGTAGTTAAGCATCTGAAAAGGGATTTGCAACCTCCTCGTCTCACTCCAAAGCCATTGTTCATTCCACTGAGCTCTTCTCCAAAGCTCCAATCAAAGGACATGAACAAATGGTTTTAAAGGAAATAGAAACTACCACCCAAAAAGTGTTAAAAATCACTAATGATCAGAGAAAAGCAAATCAAATAAACTTGCTTTATTATCTCACCCCGAAACTGGCAAAAAATGCTGAAAGATGGGAACCATTTCTAGGAGGGCTTTGAAAAAATAGGTATGGGGCAGCTAGGTGACATAGTGGATAGAGTACCTGCCCTGGATTCAGGAGGACCTGAGTTCCAATCTGACCTCAGACACATAACAGTTACTAGCAGTGGGGCACTGGGCAAGTCACTTAAACCCATTGACTAACCAAAATAAATAAATACTAGATACACTAATTTACTCCAGATGTAATTGTGAATTGGCTCACCCATTCTGGATAAATTTTAAATTGTGCAAGAAAAATTACTGGATTGTTCACATGGTTTAAAAACAGAAAGTCACACTATTGGAACTCTTTAATTAAAAAGTGTGAACCATTTAATAATTTGATCTTTTAAGTAAGTTATCTACAAGAAAAGTTTCATAAGTCAATCTCTCAGATAGGATGTGATTGGGTTGGAATTCTGCTGTGGTGTAGGAAATAAGCTGACTGATTTAGAAAAACATGGAAAGACTTCGACTTATGAAAGAAGATGTTATCCACTTTCAAAGAAACACACAGATGATAGGAGGAAATAAGCATAGTTAGGCCTTACATATATGAGTATATATGTGTGTTTATGTATGTTTCTAGATATTTATGTATGTGTGTGTGTGTATTATGTAAGTATGTATGTGCTTAATCGTAGCCTTTTTTAGAGTGGTGGGGGAAGGGAAGGGGAAAAAAAAGGAAAAAATACACAGCAGAGAACAAAAGAAAACCAACAAGGAAACAAAGAAAAGCTGGGCAGCTCTGAAAACAATGTGTAATATTTATTATATAGCTTTTCTTGGAACAGAAATTTGTTGTTTTATATTGAATCCTCTCTTATGGTGTGCTGTGTACATGGCAATGGTTTCTTTCTTTTCTCATTTTATATTTCAGTTTAAAATAAAAAAACTTACAAAAGAAAAGGTTCATACGTAAATGTAATTACAGTTTCACTAGGCTCTTCCACAGAGACTATAGATATTATTACTTTATGTTTAAGAGCCAAATGGAAGGTTGAAAAAGAACAGTTTACATTTCCATGAGGTACTTTTCTCTATATAGTCATGGAGAATGCTTGTGTTTTGCCTTTAGTCTATGAGATAAACCATGGAGAGAACAAAGAGAAAAGTGAAAAGATACATCTTTCTGGTGAGAATTATTGTATTACTTTGCGAAGAAGCATGAAGAATATGTAAGAAACTAGTAGTTTATAGGGTGCTCCAAAGACAGTACTTGTAAATAGAAGACAAAGAAAAAGGGCTAACACGATTTATTTCTGGAGAAGCTGAAATTAACTTATGATTAGGAGAAATATTAAGAGGATTTTTGAGAGACTTCAATAGATATATCAAATGATGGAACTGTTTTTCCAGAAGTGAAAAACCATCATCAACAAATGATGTTCTAGTGAGGGTTTGAAGTGACTCTAGCTGTGATCTTTGATATGGACAAAATACTGTAAATAATTATATATTACTTTTAGTGTTGGTTTTCATTTGTTAATGAATTATATATTTGGTAACTTTAATATTTAATCATAGCAGATTAAGCAATTTAATATACAGAGATATATGAGTAACTGCTTTTGGGCAAAGCACTTTCTCTAATTTATTCAGTAAATAATATTTAATGACTGGTGGAAGATTGAGTCAATTGATTAATAAGAGACTGCAAGTTTATTAATAAGAAATATTAAAATATACCACAGTTTCATTCTAGTACTAGGGATGATAAGATGAAATATGGAAACACATCACATGGCAGGTGATGAGATGTCACCTATAACTCGAATGGTCAGTTCCATAAACCTTGCTACATACAATCATGCTCATAGCAGCATTAAATTATTAAAAACAAAACAGAATCAAGTCAATATTCATAAGAACAACAATAATGAAAATTAAAACACTAAAAGACAGCTACATTCAGATTAATTATATGACCAATCTTGGTTCCAGAGAACAGATCTTAGAAGTCCCTCTTTCAATAGAGAGCAGGAAAAAGTAGAAAAAAACACATGCACAACTATTGAGGAATAGCTGAAGAAATTACAGGGTTTTTTGTGCAAATATGAAGCATTCAGAGAAACAATGTAAGAAATAATACAGGGCCCAGACAATACGTGCAACAACTGAAAAAATGTAAATGAAATCAAAACGGAGACCAACAAAACCCCAGACATATAGACCATCTATGTTAATATACTATCAGACATAAAGGGCAAAGTCCTCAATGATCCATATATTTTTTTTTACCCACTACATAAGGGACATTGTTTGGGTGTTTATTGGGAACTATCTTTTCTGTCAAAACAAAATGTATCAATCAATTTTTTAAAACTTTTATTTATGTCTTGTGTTTTTACATCCTAGTTATTTCCTGATACATTCCCCTGTTAATCCATCTTCTAACAAAGAAAAACAGTTTGGCAAAACCTGAGGGTTACAGCAACCATAAATGGAACATTTGAAACTGGTGATTCCTCTTTCCTCTAGTGAAGAGAGTGACTTATGTTTCAACAGTTCACTGGAACCAGTATTGGTCAAGTAATTCATCTGAATTTGGCTGCCTTTCCGTGTGGTTTTAATTCTAATTGTGTATATTGTTCTGGTTCTGCTTGTTTTTAACAACTTTTTTTTTATAATTCTGAACTTGACTGACAACAAATGCAAACACTCCCATATACAAAGAAGAGGAAAAAAAGGAGGAATATATATGTATGTATAGTGAACTTCTATAACATATAGCTTGTTTTTTAAGTATATAATAAATTCATCACCTTAGTTTCAAAGCTGTCCTGTCTCAACTCCCTCCTGTTGCGCTGTCATTAAAAAAAGTTTCAATGGCACTCTTTTCTTTTCTTTTTTATCATCGTTCCCCTTTCCTCAATTTTTTAAAATTTTTTTCCCTTTCCTCAGTTTTTTAAACCTTCCTTTGCAATAAATAAGCACAGTCAAGCAAAAGAAATCCACACATTAGCCATGACTGAAAACGCATAGAACTGATTTCAAGGGATGAAGAATGCTTCCCCTCCTCACGAATAGGTTACTAATATACAGAGTGAGACACATCACACTTTTGAACATGCCCAATAAGGGTATTTTGTTTTGCCTCACTAAGCTTATTTGTTAAAAAGCATTTTTTTTCCTTTGGGCGGAATGGTTTTAAAAGGAGAGAAAAATGTAATTTAACTTAAAAAAATTTTTTTAAAGCATGTAATATTTTTTCTGTCCCTTAAGCTAAGATCTATAAACTTCTAAAAAAAAGTGATAGCTACCTATAATTGGCTTCCTTTGTAATCCTATGCTATTTTATATACTTAAAAACATTATTCTAATAAGAGTTCTATAAGCTCAAGAAGACTGACCATGACACAAAAAATTAAGAATCCCGGATTCAGTGTATCGCCCCCTGTCCAGAGTTAAGTAGGAAGCTCTGCCACAAGTCCTGTGGAGTCTTCAATGGTCATTGCAATAATATTCTATTAGATTCATATGCCATAATCTGTTCGACCATCCCAATTGGAGCCCTTTAGTTTCTTTACAACAACAAAAATTGTTACTCTATATATTTTTGCACATATGCATTCTTTACCTCTTTTTTTAATTTTTGGGTAATATGTCTAGTTAGTAATGGTACTTGTGGGGTCAACACTGGGTTCTGCTTATTTCATTCGGCATCATGTTAGTAATTTCAGAAGACACAATAGTATTCCATTACATTCATTTACCAGAATTTGTTCAGCAATGTGCCAATCAATAGGCACCTACTTTGTTCCCAACTTTTTGCTATAACAAAAAGTTTTACTGTAAGGGGCAGCTAGGTGGCACAGTGGATAAAGCTCTAGTCAAGTCAGGAGGACTTGACTTCAAATCCAGCCTCAGACACTTGACACTTACTAGCTGTGTGACCCTGGGCAAGTCACTTAACCCCATTGCCAAGCCTTTTAAAAAGAAAGTTTTGCTATAAATGTCTATGTATACACATACACACCCATCTGCATGTAAAAATACATATAAGGCTTTTCTTTGTGTCTTTGACTTCCCTGATTTATATATTCAGTAATGAGATACAGTGGATCAAAGGATGTAAAGTTTTCTAACTTTTTTTTCCTAATCAGAGCTGATTTCCAGAATGGTTGACCAATTCACATATCTACCAAGAATGTATTAGTGTCAGTCTTTCCAAATCTTCTCCAACATTAGTTATTTCCCTCTTTTGTCATCTTAGACAGTTTGATGGTTGATCATGAGGTAAAACCTCAGAGTGGTTTAAATTAGTGTTTCTTTTACTTGTGGTAATTTGTATAATTTTAACATGGTTGTTGATTATTTGGATTTCTATTTAAAACTCTTTATCTTCACCCCACTTATCTACTGGAGAATGGTTCTTGGTTTTATATATTTCTGTCAACTCAATGTAAGTCTTTATCAGAGATATCTGATGCAAAGATTTTTCTCACTAAATTCAATTTTTAAAAAGAAAATTGATGATGATTAGAAGTAATAAGTAATTTCATCGCCCTCCAAAAAAAGGCTTTCTAATTTTTACATAAGCACTGGACTTTCAAGACAAAATTGTGTGACTTCAGTCATATAAACCTAAACAGCTTGTTCTAATTAGTATGTAAACAAAAAGTAGATATTCTTTGGTTTGTTTGTTTGTTTTCTTTTTCATTTTAGGAGACAATGTCAGTTGACCCTAGGACAAAGTAAATCAGATTACTCCAAGTTCTAATCTTTGAGGGAAAGTGGTACTTTACTGCTGTGAAGATGGGGGTGGGGGATAATAGGTAACAGGCAAATATGTGAAGGAGGAGATAAATAACAGGTCTCTGAAGGATTACACCACCATGCAACGTCAAAAAACACTACACTTAAATAATCACAAGTAAAGTCCCTATCCACTACCCAATCCTCACTTCCACTGTCATGCAAGAAACTTGAAGCTGGCCACACAGCAAAACAGATTCCCTTTTCCTCTTCAACACACTCCTCTTAGAATATATACTGCCATTTTGGGACATCTCTCTACTACCCACTTCTTTTACCTGGTAACACTTCTTCCTAATCTTTACACCTTTATTTTCACTGAGAGGCTACTCTTGAGTATTTATTTGGATCAGATTTCTTCTTTAATATTCCATGATTTCATTAATACTGATACTTCCTTCCCCCATCACTGTTGACTATAATCCCTTGGGCCTTAGAAGCCATTTTATTGAGCTGCTGTGGCCAAATAAATAAATAAAAATAATCATTTGATGGCCAATTCTATAGTAATGATCCTTCTCAAATTTAGTTAGGCTGCCTTAGATGAGAAACATAATGGTCTCCTAAAGCAAATTATAATCTATCACCACATGAATCTTTCCATCCTGCGAAATCAGAGTGGAAGCTTTGATGTTTGAGCACTCAGTGTACCTTCCATGCTCCAGTGAGGAACTGGTATAAGATTTCAATCTGGAGGAACCAGATTCTATCCATATGAAGAAATCACAGGGCAGGCAATATACACAATCTGGTTTGTTTGCTACCCCTTAAGGATAGCCCTGGGCAACATAATCCCTAGCTGCAATGATCTTTGTTAAATACAGAGAATGGTTTCTTTCATAGAGACTTAAGAGAAAGGTTGCCTTTACAATTGTACACCTGGAAACATTGGCTGTGATTATGGGAACTGTTGTACTAACTAAATCACTCACAGTTCAGCACTATGATAGTTTTGCAGCAACTTTCTTGGAGCCCAGTTCTAAATAAACCAGGGTCAGTGGTAAAAAGATAACAAAATCAAGTCAGGAATCATTGCAAGCACTGTGATTAAAGTGCTACGGTATGGATACATCCTTCCCCCTCTGGCCCACACTTGAGGAAGTCTTCTTTCTCAATCCTCTTCCCCCTTTATCTTCATATGCACAGGATCAGAGGCTTTATAGCCTTAGTATTGGAAGGAACCTTGGAGGTTATCTCTATTCCAACCCCACATTTTAGAGAGGAAGAAACAAAGTCCAGAGAGATTTTGATTTGCTCAAAGTCACATGGATATTATTTGGCAGAGCTGGATTTGAAATCAAGCTTCTGACCAAATTCTACATTTATATTGTACTATACTGATTTTTAAAATGGGGGGAGATTGGCTCTGTGATACTAAAAATGGATACCCCAGTACAATTTCTGAAACCATTTATTCTCAGGACTCTTTTACACATTTAAAAATTATTGAGGACCCCAAAGAGCTTTTATGTGGGAAATATCTATTAATATTTACCATATTAGAAATTTAAATGTCTCAGTATTGTTATCCAGGGGTAAGAGGGAATAAATATTTAATAAGCACCTCTTATGTGTCAAGCACTGTGTTAAGCACTTTATCAATATTATCATATTTGATCCTTTATTTATTTACTAATTTATTTAGGAGAATAGTTTTGACCTGGTAAGTTTTGGAGACCCCATAGGGGTCCCTGGACCACACTCTAGGGATCACTGACATGGTTTAACTAATTTTCAATGAAGCATTATATTAATAAATAATATATAATAAAATACATAATAATTTAAGAAATAATAAGTCAACTCATCAACTCAACAAACATTTATTAAACCATTATCCTTTGCAAATACATATGCAGACCCTGGCTATAGATACCAAAATTTAGATAAGATACAGTCCTGGCCTTCATGGAGCTTACTTAGAATCTAGATAGGATACACATATACACACATACAGATGTATAAATTGTATAACAAAATATGCATCATAACATGCTGTCATAAAAAGGTCTTGCAGACACAGTAGTCAATGACTATAGTAATCTATTATTTGATAAACCCAAAGACCCCAGCTTCTGGGATAAGAACTCACTCTTTGAAAAAAACTGCTGGGAAAACTGGAAAAGAGTATGGCAGAAACTAGGCATAGACCAAAATCTCACACCATATACCAAAATAAAGTCAAAATGGGTTCATGATTTAGATATAAAGGCTGGTATTATAAGCAAACTGGGAGAGCATGGAATAGTTTACCTATCAGATCTACGGAGAACAGAAGAATTCATGACCAAACAAGAGAGAGATTATGAAAAGCAAAATGGATAATTTTGATTATATTAAATTGAAAAGTTTTTGCACAAAAAAGCTAATGCAACTAAAATTAAAAGTAAGGTAGAAAATTGGGAAAAATTTTTTACAATCAGTCTCTCTGATAAGGGCCTCATATCTAAAATATATAGAGAATTAAGTCAAATTTATAAGAATACAATCCATTTCCCAATTGATAAATGGTTAAAGGATATGAACAGACAGTTCTCAGTTGAATTAAAGCCATCTACAGTCATATGAAAAAATGCTGTAAATCATCATTGATTAGAGAAATGAAAATCAAAACAACTCTTAGGTACCACATCACACCTATCAGACTGGCCAACATGACAAAACAGGAAAATGATAAATGTTGGAGAAGATATGGGAAAACTGGAACACTAATGCATTGTTGGTGGAGTTGTGAAATGATTCAACCATTTTGGAGAACAATTTGAAACTATGCCCAAAGGGCTATAAAAAATGTGTATACCCTTTGACCCAGCAATAGCACTTCTAGGGCTGTATCCCAAAGAGATCATACAAATGGGAAAAAGACCCACGTGTACAAAAATATTCATAGCAGCTCTTTTTGTGGTGGCAAAGAATTGCAAATTAAGAGGATGCCCATCAATTGGGGAATGGCTGAGCAAGCTGTGGTATATGAATGAATGCTATTGTGCTATAAGAAATGATGAACAGGCTGACTTCAGAAAAACCTGGAAAGACTTGTATGGTCTGATGCTGAGTGAAGTGAGCAGATCCCAAGAATGTTGTACACAATAACAGCCACGTTGCGTGATGACTAATATTGATAAACTTAACCCTTCTGAGCAATACAAGGATCTAAGACATCTCCAGAGGCCTCGGGATGGAAAATGCTATCCACATCCAAAGAAAGAACTATGAAAGTTGAATTGCTATTTTTTTCTCTTCTGTTGAGTTTTGTTTCCTCTTTCTGATGGTTCCTCCTATTAGTTTTAATTTTTACTTACAATGCCACTAATGTGAAAATATGTTTAATAGGAATGTAAATGTATAGCCTATATCAGAATGTGAGCCATCTTGCGAAGGGTGGTGGAGAGGAAGGAGAAGAAAAATTTTAAACTCAAAAGCATATGTAAGTGATTATTGATAAATTAAAATAAATTAGCAAAATTTTAAAAAAAAGGTCTTCCAAAACAAAGTACTATATGAGGTTTAGTGGGAGAAGATTATTACTGATGGAGGAGATGGCATTTGAGTTAGGTTTCAAAAGCTGAGTAGTTGCACTATTATAAGTTGCAAGTTGCATTATCATAAGTATTACTTCAACCTGAAAAAAGGTGGGACGGAGGACATTACACGCATAGCAAACAGTATATAGGCAAAAATTTGAGAGTGGGAAAAGTGCAGGAAGTGTTGAGGAGTCAGAATTTGGATTATAACTTGGAGTAAGCAAAATGAAGTAATATGAAAATAAGCCTAGAAACAAAAGATAGAACCAAACTTTGGTGGATGGCCTTGAAAGCCAGGCTAAGGAGCTTATATACTAAAATTGTTCAGCAGTGGAGTGACATGACCAGACTCACATCAGACCCAGTGCTCTAATGCTGAGTAAAGTATGACCTGGTTGGTACTTACCTTATAAGTATTCCAGAATTTCTGCCTCAGGTCCAAAAACTTATCCTCTTTCTTCTGAAGTATACTCATGCCTATTTGTAAACAAACACATACAACAGGAATTTTTAAAGGCCTAATATAGATTTTATCATATTGCACATTTTTGTTGTTCAGTTGTCTGACTCTCCATGACCCCTTTGTAGGTTTTCTTGGCAAAGACACTGGAGTGTTTGCCATTTCCTTCTCTAGCTCATTTTACAGATGAGGAAACTGAGGTAAAGAGGGCTTTTGGGGGGGGGGGTGTCGGATTCATGTGCGTGAAATCTGCTTCCCCGTTTTCTACAAGCACTGCCTAAAAGCAGAAAGCTTGTAGCTTATTTTCGGGCATGGACCATACGGTTTATGCGCGCGTGTGCGTGTGCCATCTGGTGGCCCGTTTCCAAAGGAAAGCAGCCGGCTGCGTTGCGCTGGCACCTCCTGGAGGCAGAATCCGCGTGGTCACGCCGGCCCGCCCCGACGCCGCAAGGGGCCGCCTCCTGCCCGGCCGGTCTTCCAGCGGCCGCGCGGCCGCGCGACTCCGCTGCCCGCCTCGCTCCTGGCCCAGCCTGTCCGCCCCGGCCGGCCCTCACCTATGTAGAAGCCGCACAGCGCGATGGGCCCGCCCAGCAGCTGGTCACACAGTAGCTTGGTCAGCAGGGTGCGCGGCGCGCGGCCAGGCTGCGCGCGCTCCAGGAGCTGCATCCACACGTAGTTGAAGTTCGCGTGGAAGCCGATGGCCACGGTGGCCACGCGCCGCGTTTGCTGCCAGTCGTGCTCGCAGCCCCGCAGGCGCTGCTGCAGCGCGTCCCCGGACGAGTACAGAATCCCGTAGAGCGCCACATTGGTGGGCCACGGGTAACGCTGTATTGTTCGCGGCACCACCCGCCACCAGCCCCACATCGCCGGCCTGGTTCACCCCCAGCTCAACCCCCGCTGGCGGGCTTGGTACGCGTCCCCTCCGCCCACCCCGAGCTGTGTGAGAGCGCCTCTGGTGGAGACGCCGCCGTGGGCGGGAAGGTGGACCTATAGCCGCGTCCTTCCACGCACCCTAAGGCACCACCATTAGCGATAGTCAGGCCTCCCTCTTGTCTTGCACCTACTGGAGCCACCTGCCTTCAGATCTGCCTCTCTTGGTCGGCTTCTATTGATGTATGCCCCAGGCCAGACCTGCCCCTTCTTAGACCTGCCTCTTCTTAGACCTGCCTCCCTGGGTCGATTCACTCCTATCAGAGCTGCCCAGGCCACCTCTGGTTTACATTAGACCTTTGCCCCCTTTCTCACCTGCTTCTCTGGCTCCTGCACTAGCTGCCCTTTCAGACTTTGCCACTTCCTTAATTTTGTTATGCATGCGCGCCCTCCTCGATCCTTTTCCTGACTTGAACCCCACCCTGTCTACCTTGTGGTCTTTGGGAGACATATCCTTTTATCCTTCACCTTCCTCCCTCCTCCAGTTCTGCCAAGTCTTGTCTCTGGTCCATTCCTGTGACAGCACAACTCTCCATGACCGCAGTTTCTTGCTTTCCTTTCCTAATCACTTTCATTTGGCCACTCGCTTTGAAGCTGTTGTAAGCTACACCTTCTACCGGGTGGATTCCTGGCTCCACAACTTTCCAATTGCCTCATTTCTTGACGCCTTCTGGTCTTTTTTTAATCATTCACCTTTGGCCACTCCCTTTCAAGACTGGTTTGTCTGAGCTGACCTCTATTCTGACAACTATACTACAAAAACTTCTTTGTCAGTATCTTCAGAAACTTGACTCTATAAGACACGGTTGACTCACTGAAATGTTGCTTATCTCTTTCCCCTTTCCTCTTTTCTGTTCACTCCACCTTGAACTATCAAAAAAATCAGCTGCAAGCAGGAGCAGAAATCGGCTTACTAGGTCAGCTTGTCAACAGTACCTGAAAGATTGAGAGTATCTTTTTGTTTGGAACGTGATTTGGTTTTGCTTTATAAAATTCTGATTTTTTTTCTTTCTCCCTATTTCAAAAAATGCAATTATGAGAAATGACATCTCTATACAGGTCCTAATTAAAAGTCCCTATTTAAATTCATCAGATTAAGGGGAAAACAACAAAGGTGATGTAAACTGAGCAACATCGGAAAATACCATCAAGCATTTGTTCAGAGGCGTGTGGTGTTATGATACTTTTTACACTTTTCAGAAAAGAAGAATAGAGAGGAAGAACAGCATTATAGCTGTCTGCTGTCAAGTCAGTTCAAGTAAATAAACCTTTATTAGCTACCTGATACGTGCAAGAAATTGTCCTACTGCCTAGTGACCTGGCTTGAGTGTTTTCTTCTGGGATTTCTGAAATTTGATACTTAGTAGGAGGGAGGCTAGGGCTTGGTATAGTCTCTACAGAGAACCAGGGTTCTGAATCTGACTTTACATACTTTCATGTGATCTCATTTGGTCTCTGCCAGAGGGAGAGGTAGGTAGGGCAAGGGATTAGAACCATTTTTTAGATAAGGAGAAAAGAGGCATATGAAGGTGAAATGACTTGGCCCAGGATTGGCTGAGCAACTCAAATCTTCTGACTCCATGAATATAATGGGCAATGACAGAAACATAAATATTAATACTTAGTACTACCAGCTGTATATAGTAATTGTTGTTGAATAGTTGTGTGTGTATGTAGCTTATGTGTGTCCACATAACCCACCTCCCTGGATATGGCTTACAAGTATCTTGAGTTGCCTCCACCCTGCCTTCTCCAAGGGAGTCTTTGATTCCTGCCAGGAGGGCAAGCAAGAGATTATAAATGTGAAATGCCTAGCATGGCCCTAAAACAACAACAGACATTTTAAGAAACATTTTTACTTCATCATTTGTGAAAAGCTCTGATCGAGAATCCTCAGGAAATAATTAGTCAATGCCATCCTGTATTAAAATCACTGACCAGTGGAAAATTACAGGAAAAGACACTTTTGCACTAAAATATAGACATCTTTCAACTTGGGAATGTTTTTCAATTTATGACTAAGGATCCCATTAAAATACATTAAAATTTTTTCATTAATTTTTAAACTATTACCTAATCTTGAACTGAGACTTAATAAAAGCTGCTAAACTGACTGTATTATCTAATTATTAACTTTTTTTGCTGAAATCTGAATCTTCCTTTGGCATACAGAAACCTGTAAGAGGGCCATTTATTAGATACCTACTCTGTGCCAGAGCTTTAGAAATGTAAAGCACTACTGTGCTAAGCAACAGGCAGACTTGTACTTTCCAACATTCGCCCAGAGATGGGCAATTAGGAGGCCCACAAAAAGAGGAGAGACATTAATACTTCTTTCTCACCACTGGTATTCTTTAATGTATACAGCTGACGTCTCTGTTGTTTGATATAAGCATGGGTTTACTATTAATCTCATGCTCTGGACTACAGGGGAGGGAGTTGAAACAAGGAACTTTTCCCCGTTGTCCTGATATAGGGATAGATAACAAGCTGTTGGGGGGGAAAGGTAACACGATTCTCCCCAGTTCAGACTTTCTTCACCTGTATCTTTATTCTGCGTTTAAATACTCCTCTCCCTCCCAATCTTAGGATCAATCAATCTTATCAAACAAGGGGAACTGTTGCTGGAGGTGAGAGCTGTGTGGGAGGAATTTGGTAGTCAATGAATCCAAGAGCAGAGAAAGATAATGGTTCTTCTGGTGATAATGGCAACAGTGATACCAAGGAAGAGGAGATCCACCATGCCAAAGATGCACGAGTGCCTTACATTCTTTAGCCTTGTTTATAAGGACTATATTAAGTTCCTGAGTAGGACCAGCGTATTTTGGTTCCGATTTGGAGAAACCATACCTAGAGATTCAATCTTCATGACCCCACCAATTCTTATTCTTAATACTGGTAAGTAATGTTGTGTAAAGGATGGTACAATTATGTTACTTTCAGCCCTAACCTTATTAGCTTGGGGGGGGGGGGAAGATTATTTGTCTTGCTATCAGTACCTTTTATTGTAATTGATGGTTCAGAACTTTTCATAGTAGAATGTGAGATACAGTCAAATGATCACTTAGTGCCAAGGGCATTTGCGTTGTTCAAATGTATCACAGTATTTTGAAACTATACTATTTAGTACTTAAAATAAATATTTAAGGGGGCTGTGTGGTGCAGTGGATAGAACACCAGCCCTGGATTCAGGAGGACCTGAAGTTCAAATCCGGCCTCAGACACATAACACTTACTAGCTGTGTAACCCTGGGCAAGTCACTTAATCCCATTGCCTAAAACAACAAAAAAACAAATAAACAAAAATAAATATTTAAGGTAAATGGGAGGCAGGATGGTAAAGTAGGAAGACAACTGCCTCTGGAGTCAGAGGACCTGGTTTTAAAGTATGACCTTGAGCAAGTTACTTTCAGTCCCAGGGCCTTAGTTTCCTCATCTATAAAGGGAAGGAGTTGGACTAGATAGGTTCTGAGGTCCTGTCTGGTTCTGTATCGAAACTCTTTTGGCTGATCCTTTGGTTCAGGAAGCTCACTTCCATTAGCATGAAGTGGTAGAGAATCTTAACTTGGATCAATATGGGCAATCAACTGGATTTGTTTTATTACATTTCCATTGCTAGACTTCATGTTCAAAATATCCTTACATAGCATTCAAAAATTTCATAAAGATGAACCCATAAAATCAAATTGGAAGAAAATTGATACTAAAAGTGGTAATTCTAATGGGGAGGGGGAGATAGCCTTTTACATATGCAGAGATGCTACCAAATACAAATCTTTAATATGAATTTTTTTTGGACTAGCTATGATTTCAATAGTGTGGGAAATCTCCCAATGAGGGACTGCCCTTGCCAATGAAGATGGGGAACTGCTCTGTAATTTATGGTCTTAGAAGAGGCGGCATTGCATAACATATTAGGTATGTGATCCCAGACAAGTCACTTACATTGTCAGTGCCCCCAGGCAGCTCTGCCCCATATCTGAATTATAATTAACAAATAATTCAGATAAAAATTTATCCTCATGTATGACTCTAAAAATTACTAGAAGAATATTAGTAATTAATAGAGGGAAAGTATGAATGTATTGCTTAAAATTTTGGAACTTAAAAAGATTTGAGAGGTCATCTGGTCATAGAGAAGATTTAATGCTAAGACAAGTATTTTTGTAAATGAGAGAAGTCCCTGATCAAATAACCAACAGATTATAGGCCATTGAGAGTCTCCAGTCAAACTGAAGAAATTTCTTACCTCATTGAGATCATGGGGTATTGGCTATTAGATGAAGGCTGTTGGCCTAATGACCTAGAAAAGCAAGCTGGCCCCTCTTGGGGTTAAGAAAGAAAATACTCAACTTTTTAGGGCCCTTTCACATCTTTAAGACTTTCCTGGATGGATCTTGCAGAATGTAACAAAAATCAAGAGATTTCTTGATCCAGCCATTCTGGAGAGCAATTTGGAACTATGCTCAAGGGCTATGAAAATGTGCCATACCCTTTGACCCAGCAATACCACATCTAGGGCTGTATCCCAAAAAGATCACAAAAATGGGAGAGGTCTCACATGTACAAAAATATTTATAGCAGCTCTTTCTGTTGTGGCCAAGAATTGGAAATTGAGGGGATAGCCATCATTTGGGGAATGGGCCGAACAAGTTGTGGTATATGAATGTAGTGAAATATTATTGTGCTATAAGAAATGAGGAGGAGGCAGACTTCAGAAAAACCTGGAAAGACTTGTATGATCTGATGCTGAGTGAAGTGAGCAGAACCAGGAGAACGTTGTACACAGTAACAGGCACATTGTGAGATGACTAACTTTGATGGACTTAGCCCTTCTCAGCAATGCAAGAATATAAACATCTCCAAAAGTCTCATGATGGAAAATGCTATCCACATCCAAAGAAAGAACTGTAAAATTTGAATACAGATGGAAACATACTATTTGCCATTTTTTTTCCTTCTGTTTTGTTTTGTTTCCTCTTTCTTGTGGTTCATCCTATTGGTTCTGATTCTTCCTTACAACATGACTAATGTGAAAAAAAAAAGAGGGGATTCTTTCTCCTCCCTGTGCCCTTACGTTGTCAAAGATGTCCCTTGACAGAAGTATGTGGCTATATGGGACATGAGCTTGCACGTAAACTGAGACAGTAATTCAAGGCCATGATTTCCCAAATTCCATTCTACTATGGAAAAATTAGAGGAGAGAGAAAATTTGGTGCCTAGAGTGGGGATCCAGCTGATCAAAAGGTGGAAGCC